CGCCGGCGCCCGCGACTCTGGCGCGCCAGTGGGAGAGGGAGTCGAGGGTGGCGAGAAACCTGCCCGCGTTGTATATAAGCCGCAGCACGAAGTAGCTGGCGCCGGGGAACGCGCCGTCGGGCGGCGACCCCATGGCACCAACGATGTCTGTCGCGCGGGCAACGTCGGACCGCGATCTTGCAACGTTTGCGCAGCGCCCCCTTCCCGCGCATGGACCCAAGCGGGGCGCCATAGGACTGCTGCCCATTTCTGCCGGGCCAGGTCGGCGGGGCTGGCCCTTCGGACCGGCCAGGCCTCATCCTATCCGAGGCAGCTCCTCGGAGTCTTCGATGGCGCAGTCACCGGGTGACCCCGCGGAGGCGATGCCATGCTCTATCGCGGCGGAGTCTTGACCGGAGAACCAACGTGTCCGAGGGCTCCAGACCCTCGAGATGTCGATGGAAGGTTGGGAACGACAACGACCCCTGCTTCGCTGGCGACGCGCTCCAAAATTAGATGGGCGATGCGATGGCCCTGCTCGACCAAGTACGTTCGCGGGCCTGCGCTGGACATGACCACCTCGACCTCGCCGAGGAAGTCAGGGCCCATCGCGCCGCCCGCGACGCCGACCCCCTTGAGCGCGACTCCTGAGCGGGGGGCGACGCGCAGGCAGGTGCCCGGCGGCGCGGGGGGCGCCGTGCCCGTCGACGCCAGCCAACGACAACAGGCCGCGATAATGACGTCCGCGCAAGCGTGCAGGTCGAAGCCCGCGGCCCCAGGCGCGCCCCGCGAGCGCGCCCGTGCGTCGGGGCCGAGGAACTGGACCGTCGGCTTCTGGAGGAACTCGCGGCCGTCGGCGGCGTCGGAGCCCTGGCCGGCGTCGCCCACCGCCGGCAGCGCGAGCGGATTGGGCGGCAGGCCCCTGGAGTGCGGCTCGAGCTCGTCGAAGTCGTCGACCGGGATGCTCGAATGGCCACTCGGCGCCGACGAACGGTCGAAATGGACGGCGCCGGGGCGCCATGGGATCTCGCGGCCGCCCAGCCCGGAAAACGCGAGGCGCTCGTGGCCCACGCCTGTCTCCACCACCCCGTAGTTGGACTGCATGGACTGCAGACCTAGCAGGACAGGGGGGTCAGCTCCTGTCGCGCGGTCGGAGGAAGTCGTTGCGATGGAGCAATGAACTTCGTAGTTCGCATCATGCGAGCCGTCGCCGACCTCGGTGGGACGCAGCTTGGCTCGCAGACATCGCGCGCCAGATGCACTGCGAAACGTGGCCCCCAAAGGTCGGCCCAGGCGCGGGCGTCGACAACGACGCCCAATCGGCCACCAGGCAGGTCGGCGCTCGCCCCGCAGCGCGGCGAGTCGCTCGATGCACTCGGGCGCGTGCCCGACGAAGTCGGCCACGGTGGGAACGTCGGCCTGCAGGGCGGCGCGCGCATGTCCAGCCGGGCGTCGCAAGGCGCCGCCGCGCCCGCTGCGGGCGAGAAGAAGGACGCACTGACTCGTGGCCCGGCGCCACGGGCGCTGGAAACGTCGGTGCACGATTCGCGCCAACGAGGCGGAACTCGGCCATGGCGTCGGCTAGTCCGCAGCACACCAGACGGCGCACCACGCGGGCGTCTGCGCGCTGCAAAAACGGCCGGCAGCCTGATTGACGCAGGATGCGGCGGCACTGCAGGCGCGAGGCCTCCAGGTAGATAGGGTAGCCCCTGCCTTCGCCGCTGAACGTCGTCGCCGGGGGGGGGCGGGGCAGTCGGCGCGGCGGCCGGCGCGGGAGGAGGATGAAGAGGTGTCTCGTTCAACGCCGCGCGGCCTGGCGCCGTTGCTCGTCTTGCCGCCGCGCGAGTTCAAGCGCCCGCTGCGCGCTGCGGAGCTCGCTGAGGCGCCGTCGTCGCGAGCGGTCGACGGCGGCGCGCGCGTCGCGCTCGGATTGGCCGACGCTGGGCGCCCAGGCATCGCGGCTGGCGAACTGCATGGCCACTCCCTCTGAATTGCCTCGCGACAACGGGGCCGGGGCCGCCGGCCCCTATCTAAGTTGACCAACGGTCGCGGCCAATTGGTTGCCGCGAGCCGTCCGACGGAGATCTCGGAGGGGCCGCCGGCGCCGGCGGCTGCGGCGCCGGCGCCGCTGGAGTCGGCCGTTCGCCGTTCCAGGGGCCAGCGCCATCGCCGTTCCCGGCGCCCCCGGCCACGGTCCGAGGAGCCCCGGCGGCGCCGCTGGCCGCTCAAGCGAACCCCCCGGCACGCAAGGGCGACGGCGCTGAGGGCGGCGCGGGGGCGGTCGGCGCCGAGGAACGGAGCGCGCCCTTGTCGGCGGCGCCGGGGGCAGACGCGCAAGAGGCGCTCCTCCTCGGAGTCGCACTCGCGGCATTTCTAGACGGACCCCGCCGGGGCCCACGGGGTTGCCACGGCGGCCCGAACCCGCGCCCGCGGTCCCGAACTTCCCATGCCCCCTTACCACTGCCCTCCACGAAGCCCGCGAAGGCCACCCAGAAATTGTTATCGGACAGGGTGGCCTGGGAAACGCCGTAGCTGTTACCATTGCCCTACCTCTTCCGCCCGATGACCCTCCGCTAACGTGGCGCGCAGGCCCGCGGCCGTTGAGGCTGCGCCGGCGCGCTGCGGCAAGCCCAGAAGAGTCGCGCACCCGCGCTCCTCCGCGGGAATATCGCGCAGCTCGGGGTCGTCGGCGGCCCCCCTCGCCGAACGAGCAGCGCGGCCGGGCCCGCGCCGCCCCAGCTCTGCCCCCGCGCGGGCGCGCCCGAAGATGCGCGCGCCCGCGGGCAGAGCGGGCCGCCAAAGCGAGGGCGCCAGGCGACCCCTCTATCACGCGCCCGAAACACCTCAGCTGGCCCGTCACACGGGCGAGCTGCCAAGCGCTCGCGGGGTAGGCAACGTTGCAGCGCCGCGGGGGCACGGTGTGTTCAGCCTTCGACACGCTAGCGGCGCGCTGCCGGGGGAAGCTGAGCCCTTCGTAGCCGATCGCGAAGTGAACAGATTGCTGCACCTGGTTACGGAGGGCGTCGAACCTCGCTGGGAAGTTGTCGATGCGCCCCCGCGGCCGCCAGTTGAAGTTGACCAGAGCCGACGCCGCCAGAGCGCGCTCCGCGTCGCCCAGATGGCCCCATCTCTCGGCAAAGCCGCGCACGAGGTCATCGGCGGCACTGGGTTGCCGTTGATGGGGCCACCCTGGATCAGGAAAGCCGGCGGCCGTTCGTCCACGAACCCGCGCGCCATGCCAGCAAGGCGCGACGTGGCGCAGGCCGCCCGGCGAAACTCGTCGAGGTCGGAGTTCGCCACCGACCAAAACGCCCCCTCGCGCGCTCATTTCCCTTGGGCGCCCGACATGGGCACGGAAAAGATGGGTACAATGCCCAACGACAAATGTTGTCCCAAACCAACAGCGGCCGCTGTGGGGCAGGGGGCCTTCTGTCTCAAATGGAGCCAGGCCGCCGCGGCGCGGACAGCGAGTCCTGTTCAAAATGAACAGGAACTGCTGTTGGGCATTGTATGAATTCTTTCTGTACCGATACCGCGCGCGCGCCGGTTTTCTCGAAAGGCACGCGAGCCTGGCGCTCGCGCCCACGGGCGCGGAGGCGGCGCGCGTCGCCGCTGCCACCGCTTGCGCGCGCGCAGGCGACGCAGCTTGCGATAGTGAACACGCCGACTGCGATGCCCCCCCGTCCAGAGCGCAGCTCCATCCACATGTCGCGGAAGTGCAAGTGGCTGGGGATCCTCGAGCGGCGCTGCATGAGACGCCGAGGGCATATGCCCCAGATGCGTTCGTCGTCAGCGCATTGGGCGTCGGCTTGTCAGCTTCTGTCGCGTCACTCCATTTTCACGGCACTCGGAGCATCTCGCGACACCGTCACGGGAGTGCTCTTCGCACGTCCTGTGGCCACTGCGCTGGGCACCACCAATTGCGCGACCGCCGAGAGGAGCGCATCGGGACCCCGCCCTGCCCCGCTGGCGGGCCTGAGTAAATAAAGCGAAGGGTCGGGCCCGAAGCGCAGTGCCTCGGAGCGATGGCGCCCCAAGTCGCCACACCCTCCAGCGCATTACCTCGGGGGGGTGAGAGCGCAGGCCCCGCGCCCCCCACAGCATCCCCGCTCGGTACCAGCGACGCAGACGCCGGATGCCTCCCCTGTGCGTGTTCCGCCCAGGGTTCCCGAGACTCACTCCCGAGAAGCTCGGGACCTTGTTCGGATACCGCAAATGTGAAAGTTATGTCGAACAACTGTCTCACACCCGAAGCAACCCCCACGGGCGGGGACAGTGACAGTTTGGGGTCCGCAGGCTGCGCGGTCACAGTCGGAGCATGCCCAGGATGGGTCGCACAACGGTTTTTGTAAACATTGGCGGTGGTGTCATTGATGAAATACTGGTTGCGTCTGTTCCAAATCGCGGGCCTTGGCGGATGAGCTGGCACAGCCCCGACGGACCCCAAAGTCGCGTTTCCTGCCAGAACGGAAGAGAGGAAGTGCACGAAGGCGGCGATGTTGAAGGTGATTGACCGATGTCGACTGCGGCGGAGAATGAACCATTGCGGTCAACGCGAAGCGAAACATGGCGGTCGTGGTGGGAGCTGGGGCGAAGCTGCTCCATCACCATTTCGAAATGAAGATGTGAGATGAAAGGAGATGTGTTCCGTGAGAGGATTTATTATAACTACATAGCGACGGCAAGGCAACGATGCCGACGAAGAGCAACAACAACGAGGAAGTCTCTCCGCGGAGAGTACGGCGACCGTACACGACCATGGTGCCGCTTCTCCAGGCCAGGCGGGGGGCAGGCGGGGCGACGACGACGAGAGGAGGACGACGGCGAAGGGAAAAGGACGAGTGATGAGGGCGAGGAGGGCGAGAAGCAGGACGAGAGGAACAGGAGGAGGACGAGGACGACGACGAAAACGAGCACGAGAAGAACGAGGAGGAGGACGAGGAGGACTAATTACGAGAACGATGAGGCCGACATCGACGAGAGGAGGACAACGACGAAGAGGAGGCGTCGGTGCCCGCCGC